ATAACCCAGTTAAAAGGTAATGCATTCGAGGCCGTTAGGTATAAGGTAATTACCACCTGGGCTGAATTAAAAAATTTATTTAAAACCGTTTTTGGTTCAGCACATTCAGTGTCGTACTTACAGGTACAATTAAGTCAAATGCGTCAAAATTCGAAAGAATCGATTAAAGAGTTCTCGATTAGAATTGAAAAAACTGCACACGAATTAACACACGCGTTAATGGTAGACAAAGACCAAGCGCAAGTAAATATTATAGCTCAAACGGTGCGAGCGCATGCACTAAGGGTATTCATAGCGGGGGTCCCAAAGTCTATCGGAATTATATTAAAATCGCGCAATATTCAGGTATTCGAGGGAGCAGTTTTACACGCGATGGAGGAGGAAAAATCCACCGAATATTATAATAACGCGTTCGGGAATAATAAGTTTCAGAATAATAATAATAAATTCGATAAAAAAAGTTCAACGATAAAAGCGCGGTTAAATGCCACCGTTACGGACGAGTCGGTCATTACGCAAACGGGTGTAGAACTAGCGAACATAAATTACCTACTTTTAGAAATCCGAACAGCGGTCAAAGTCCGAAGACAGAAATTAAAGGCGAATATTCTAGTAAATTCTGCAAATATTGTAAAAAAACTAATGTCGGAAATTAAAATTTAATGAAAAAAAGAAACTCGAAGAGAAAAATAATCGGTGCGATCAAAATAGATCCATCGAAGAAATACAATCGGGAAGTAACGTACGCGTAATAACGCCTATAACGCGGGAACATATAAAATGTTTCTCCGATAAATTTGTTAAATGCGAAATCAAATTTTTAATTGATAGTGGTTCTGAAATTAACATTATAAAAAATTTCAAGTTTAAAAGGGCATATAATCATGAAAGAAAACGATAAGAAAAAAATTAAAGGTATTCATGCAAGAACAGTAGAGACAGTGGGAACAGTAGTGATTCCAATTTATATTAACAAACAACCTTTCGTAGTAAAATTCGACATTGTGCATGATAATTTTCCAATACCCGAAGCAGGTATATTAGTCATATATAATTTTTGAAACTAAATAAGGTCGTTTTGGATCGGGATAAAGAATTATTAATAATCCCAGAAAAAGTAAGTAATAACGCACTAATTATTTCGCCGAGGAGTAATTGTGTATTACAAATAAGAGCCGACGAAGAAGTCAATTACGAAGCAATAACGATAAAGAAATATGAAATTAATGAAGATGTAATTATAGCTAATAGTATCAGTCCTGTCAAAGGTGATAAAATAATAAGTTATATAATAAATATATCCGAACAACCGTTTATAATCGAACAATTAACCACGAGTAATTCTAAATGGGAACCGTCCCACGATAACTTTTTTATTGCTAGCGAAAGCAATAACTACTCTTTGAATGGAATTAAGAGGATCAAAGAAACTATTAATACCGAGCATCTTAATCACGAAGAACGCGATAACATATTAGACCTGTGTAGTCGATTTTCTGATCTATATTTTCTCGAAGGCGATCTTTTGAGTGCAACTGAGATTGTTACGCATAAAGTTAATACTCCTAGGTGTGTTAAACCGATTAACATACGTCCATATAGGCTACCGCGCGGGTATCAGGACGAGATAGAAAAACAAGTAAAAGAAATGAAAGACGCGAATATAATACGTAATTCGTTATCGCCATTTAATTTTCCACTAGTATTATTAAAAAAGAAAAAAGATTTGAACGGTAACCAAAAGTTACTAGTATGTGTAGATTTCCGAAAATTAAAGGAGGTTACGGAAAATGAAGCATACGGCTTACCGAATATATTAGAGATAGGTACTAGAATCCTTAGGCTCAATTAAGTATTTTTCTACACTTGATCTTGCCAGCGGTTATCATAAAATAATGATTGATAAGGGAGACACCCATAAAACAGCTTTTTCTACAAAATCAGGGCATTATGAATTTTTACATTTACCATTTTGACTTAGTTCTGCGCCGGCAACTTTTACTCGAGCCATGAAATCTATTTTAATGGGCTTGGAAGAAATATGTACGGCGTACCTAGATGACATTGTAGTCCACGGGTCAAGTTTAGTAGATCATCAGAATAGGTTTGAGCAGGTGTTTACGCGATTAAGACTACATAAACTGAAATTACAACCTAGTAAATGTATGTTTCTACGTAAAGAGGTGTTATATTTAGAGCACGTTATCAGCGAAAACGGGGTAACACCTGATCCAAACAAATTAAGTTGTATTAAAGAATATCCGAGACCACTAAACGAGAAAGACGTAAAGTCATTCTTAGGTTTATTAAATTATTACCGCCAATTCGTTGATAACTTTGCCAAAATAGCAAAACCTCTTACTATCTTATTAAAGAAAAACACACCGTTCGTGTGGACGGAATTGTGTGAAGACGCATTCGAAGAATTAAAAAAACTAATTGGGAAAACGGAAATTTTAACCTCATGACCGATGCAAGCCAATACGCAATTGGAGCCGTCTTGTCTCAAGGTGACGTACCTAAAGATCAACCCATAGCTTAAGCGAGTAGAACGCTGAATAACGCCGAAACAAACTATAGCGTAATACAAAAAGAATTGTTAGCGATAGTATGGGCTGTAAAGTATTTTAGGCTTTATTTATACGGGAAAAAATTTAAAATAATCATCGATCACTGTCCATTAACGTATTTATTCAATATAAAAGACGTTTCGTCTCAGTTAATGCGATGGCGTTTACAGCTCGAGGAATACGATTACGAAATAATCTATAGAGCAGGCTCACGACATTCGAACGCGGATTGCTTATCACGTATACATGTTGTTACCAATGATGAGCCAATTAGCGATTTCGAAAAGTTTAATAAAGCAGAAACTAAACCGATTTTTAATTCCAAAATAACCAAAATAGGGGGAAGTATAAAACACTCGCAAAATAATGAAAATATAATTTTACCTATTTCAAATGTTAAAATAATAACGCATCCAGCGATAAGAGATGTAATAAACAATAACGATTTACCGCCGCAGGTAATTTTTAATGATAATAAATTGGTTTCGATTGAACAAACCGACAAATTAGTATTATTCTACAATCTTAAAAATAATCATTATACGACAATTAACGCCGAGAATTATTACGACGCTATTAAAGAGATTAAAATATATTGTATTGAAAAACGAATTAATCAATTCTCGACAATCAGGCTAGAAGGGTTAACAACGTTGACCTGCTACGAGCGCATACGCACGATGTTCCGTTACATATTCCGAAACACTGATAGAGCAGTAACTATTTATAAAAAACAATTTTTTACCGATGACAACGGAAATATAAAAATAAAGATGCGGAGGAAGGACTATAGGATAAACGTAAATAATACAAAAAAAATATTTCGAGACCAATTTATGAACACTTCGGTGTCATAACATATATATATTTTTAGCTATAGGATAATTCAATTTTCTTTTAATGTTATAAGTAGTCATAAACTAGTCATTGTTATATTATTATCGTAGGTAAAAAAATATTAAGTTAACCAATTACATATGAAAAAAAAATAAGGTTATTAATTATTATGATAATTTTAATAAAGTCTATAAATAATAAATAGGTATAAAATAAAAATAAGGTAGATAAGAATTTAATTACGAAGTTTTTATTTTTGCTCGGGGGGGTGGGGGGGGGGTGAATTAAAAAACAAATCCGATAATCCATACTTTTCTCAAACGTTACAATATATTATTCCAATGACAAAATTGTATTTATTGTAAATGTATTTTTTTAGTATAAAAACACGAATTAAATCTTTTCCAGCTAATACCTATACTAAATTGTGACCAAAATAATTGTTTATATGTAAAACCTAATCATAAGTATTTAGATATAAGTAAGTCAAAAGAATTGTTAAGAATTGTTAAAGAATTGTCAAAAGAAATGGAGTCCAGTCCAGTCCAGTCAGCGATTGATTCACCACCTCAAAGTGACGTTCAGCGTCGAACACGGAACTTCGGCTGCAACAGTTTCAAAAATCAGACATCATACTTCGTAAGTACGACTTTAATAGCCCCCCCCCTCCGAACACGAGGCAAGTGTACCTGAGGGTCTACACCGTAGTACAGGCATTCCCGTCAGCACACCATAGCACGAACCAGGAAACAACAACGTTCATCCCCGAAAAACAACACAAAAGGACCTAAATGACTAGAACCAAAGTCACCATCACCCTTCGACAATGAAACCTCCATCGTTACGGAGTCACCAACTCATTCTTCATTAACTATTGATTCTAATGACACCTGGGATGGTAGTAGGTCCCAAACCTCAGGCTCAGAAATCGAACCACCTCATGTCAAACAAGAACGAATACCACCAATCATTATAGAACCAAACCATTGGATTAAAGCTACCCCAAAAATCATGACACTATTTCCAAATGGTAAACTTACGGCTAAACTTATCAAAAACAACATCCATGCCCTAGCAACCGACTCTGCCACCTTTCGCCAGGCTCAAGACATTTTGGAAGAAGCCAAAATACCTTTCCACTCCTTTTCGTTACCAGCGGAAAGATCCTTAAAAGTCTTACTCCGAGGAATACCCAACAACACCCTAGTAAAAGACGTTCAAAACGAACTCTCCGAGCTCGGATTTGAAATAACCCACATCAGACAATTCTTAAAAAATGGAAAACCACTACCAATGTACATGGTCACCCTTCCCTGCAACCCAACAAACAAGAACAAATTAAATTTGACATCAATCTTCTAGATCTCAATCACAGTTTAACAATACCGAGCTTCTGGGCCCTCTCAATGTTTCAACTGCCAAAACTTCGGCCACTCATCAGCAAACTGTAAACACCCCGCCCGCTGCGTCAAATGCAGTGGTGTAAACCAAACGAGGGAATGCTCCAAAACCACCGAAAAACCTCCAAAATGCTGCAACTGTGGAGGAGAACACACAGCAAACTTCAGACAATGCCCTGTTTTCGCAGATCAAATGACCCTCAAAACTTTATCAACCAACACTATAGCTAAATTACCATCATCAACCATTACGACAAATCCTACACCATCAGTTAAGGAACCCAGCGGAAACAACACCTCTTATGCTTCAATTACTACAAATCACTCAGACAAAACCAACAGCAAATCCAAAGATTTGCTCACCAAACTTCTTATAGATACGATACAAAAAAGATACACTTCCACTGATATCAAGGAAATAATCATGTCGGCCCTCTCAGCCATTATCATGATTATCCAAAATTCTAACAACTCCCGTATCATCTACTGGAACTGCCGGGGTGCCTCTAAAAAACGCCTCGAACTCCTTGAATTAGTTCAAAGGAAAAACATCGACATTATTTTACTCAATGAAACGCATCTTAACAACTCCCAACAATTCAAACTTCCAAACTTCCACTCATATATCACTAATCGCCCCCAACGGCTAGGACATCCTGCGTGGGGAGGCACAGCTAATAATAAATCGAAAAAATCGTTCACCACCAGATTAAGATCACTACATCATCAATTGAAAATACCTCAATCCAAATTCAAGTAGGCAACAAAGAATTAAGATTATCAGCGGTCTACAAAAAACCTGATACCCTACTTCTTACTTCAGACCTAGAATCTCTGCTTGATACTTCACACTACGTCGCCATAGCAGGCGACTTAAACGCCAAACACCAATCCTGGAACAGCAGGAGACAAAACACAGCAGGAAACACGCTCGCCAATTTCGCAGACAAGAGAAGGGACATAACCATAGCTGCCCCGACTTCGCCCACTCACTATCCTGATAACCCGAACCACAATGCTGATATACTGGACAAGAGCTATTCTCAAAACAGGGAATCTAAGGTATACAATAGAAAATCTCACAGCCGAACTTTCTTCCGATCACACCCCTATAATTCTTGAGCTACAAGCCCAAGGCACTCAAACCCTACCACCTAAAGCTTTTAAACATACAGATTGGACCAAATTCAATCTTGATACCAAAAACATAATCTTTGATCACAAGAAAATGCAAATTTCGGAACACGTTGACCAAGCCATCACTGAACTTACAGCAAAAATAGCTGACCTCGCAAACAGAAACACCCATGTTACCAACACAAAAGATCAAATCCGCAACCTACCCATCAACATCCTAAACGCAATCCACAAAAAACGCAAACTGAGGAAGAACTGGCAACACACAAGAAACCCAGACGTTAAGACGCTACTAACAGACAACAGCCCTAGTTCATGACCTAATGCAATCACACAGAGACAACGAATGGGTCAACTTTCTGAGCAACATCGACCCCACAAGTGAAGGCTGGACAAAAATCTACAAATTAACAAAAAACTCATGCACAACGACCAGCTGTACACCCCTCTTTCGGACAATCAAAATATTCTACACTATGATGCAGCCACCAAATCGGAAATATTCGCTGATTCTATGGAAAAACAATTCCAAACATCAGACCACACAACTCAGACGGATGAATTAGTCAAGAATGCCATTGAAGAACATTTTAAAATACCTTACAACAAAAACATTTTCTTCTCCCCCGGAGAAATTCAATACACCATAAAGAAACTACCAAGTCAAAAAGCACCAGGTCCAGATCAACTAACTAACGCCTGTCTCAAGCATTGTGACAGGAAAGTGCTACTACAACTATGTAACGTACTCAACACCTGCACGAGACTGTAATACTTCCCACAAAAATGAACCACCATAATCATGATCCAAAGCCAGGAAAGGACGTCAACGACCAGTTAAACCACAGACCAATATCTCTATTAAACACGCTGGGGAAAGTTTATGAAAAATTGATCCTTAATCACTTGAAACACTACTTAAAGGACCATATTAGACCCGAACAATTTGGATTTCGGCCAAGCCATAGTACCACCACCCAACTTGTCAAAATAGTTTATGAAATCTCCATAAATCTAAACAAAAGGGCAAAAACAGCCACAGCATTTATAGACATTGAAAAAGCCTTCGACAAAGTCTGGCATCAAGGTCTGATCTACAAACTAATTCAATTTCAATTACCAATTCAGCTGCTTAAACTCCTCCAATCGTTCCTCCAACTCAGGACATTCGAAGTAAGAGTCAACGACTCAACGTCATCATGTAGACCCATACTCGCCGGTGTACCGCAAGGATCGTGCTTATCCCCTCAGCTCTTCTCGGCCTACATTAATGACATGCCCCAGCACAAAGATTCAAAGACGGCTCTATTTGCAGACGATACCATGTTCTACGCTTCCGGACCCACCACTAACAGCGCCGTTAAAAGACTACAAAATCAAATAGATCTAGCCTCCACATGGTTCAAAGATTGGAAGGTAACAATAAACCCTACTAAAACTACAGCAGTTCTGTACGCAAACAAAATACCTTATCACACAAAAAATATACTAATGGAAGGCAACACTATAAAATGGTCCACCAAAGCCAAATACCTAGGAGTAACAATTGACTCCAAACTACACTTCACTTCCCACATCTCAGACACAATGAACAAAACTAAAGCTGCAAAACACTGCCTATTTCCAGTTATCAATAAAAACAGTCCGATTCCCCTTAATATGAAATTATATATATACAAAACCTACCTAAGGCCAATTCTTACATACGCAGGACCAGCGTGGGCCTCCAACATATCAGAAATTTCTTGGAAAAAACTGGAGAGCCAATTTTAAGAACCATCACAGACAGTCAATGGTTTGTAAGAATCTCAACAATCAGGAACTCTGCTGAAATTCCATCCATCAGACATTATATACAGACCGAGACATCAAAATTAAAATCCACCATCACAAGTTCAAAATTCTCACACATCTCAAATATAAGCAAAAGAACCTCGCCTAAACAATTATTCATAAACAGACCAATCTCCTTCTAAACAAAAAAAACAAAAAATACCTAACTCATGAACCATCTCACCCTCACATGCAACCCTCTGAAAGCAGCATCAAAGCTTGGAACAGACTAACAACAAACAAAGCTAAGCAAAGCAAAAGAATTGTATTCCACCTATGACGAAATCGATAGAAGTCAATGTAAACATGCCAGTGATTTCCTCATGTGTCCTGAAATATATCCTTTACATCCTAGAAGTGTACGCCCCATATGTAAGTTGCTTCTACTACAAGATCCAAAGGAAGTTCCGGACATACGCCGAGAGACGTAATCAAGCAGCAGGAGCCCTATACCACGGAGCACGGCAGATTCCGTGTATCCAACCATTTCATCTTTATGATACGGAGTATCATTCTTACAAGGGAGGAATGTAGTAAACCGACGTTTTTGCACAAAACCGCGTTCCAAAAGTTAGGTGGCCGAACAGCATCCCGCCACCAAAATAGGCCACTGAGGCTGCCGCCCCATTGGTTAATACTGATCGACTACGCATCACGCCATTCCTATGACGTCAATCATCCTTTCCTAAATCCCGGGCATGTCTCATATAAATAGGGGCCCTGTTTCACAGACTTTTTAGATATAGAAGTAGTTACCAGTGCTTTACAATACTTGTGTGGGTCGAGGACTAGAAACAGCCGCATCGCCTTCCACATTAAGTACAAATTCAATTACAA